TGGACAAACACAGCTACCAGATTTTTTTTTATTCAGTATTGCGATCACTGATTGTTGATGCTCGATGACTTTCCAAGTTAGTTGTTGCTTTATTTGCACGGTGACATTGCTGACTATGCAACTAATTACTCTCACACAAAGCATATTCAAAGTGGCAAAAGTAAATGAAAAATTGGAGCTTTATGATATGCATTGAAATATAGGTGCAGTATTTGTTACTTATTATTACATCTCCACATAGGTTTGCCGCTCTGCACAAGCACACTGTACAAATATGCACCCAAATGTGCACAAAACTTCGAAAGGAGCATACAGTCGCCGACCGTTTATTCGGACTCAACAGGAACCGCCAAAACCTCCGAATAATCGGGAGTCCGAAAAAACGGATTCACTCGAAAAAAAGCACTTTTATAGGCCCTATCGCCCGAAACAACTGTCATGTCTGCACACACGCACGCTTCCGAGATGGTTTGCTTGGAAATAGCAAATTCAGACTTTAAACTGAGGTAGGCCGCCTTGTACCTGGCGAATTATATGCGCTTTTTTCGTCATCGTGAGCGTCTTGTAGCTCCCACGTTGGCCGCGCTTCTTCACTCCCGACGGCCCAGCAATGGGTGGCGTTGTAGCCATTTCAGCACGCCATGGAACACGCAAGAGAGCGAGAACACAGACAACAAGACGAATCAGGCCTAGCCGCAAAAGCAGCTGACTGACACTGCTGACAAAAGTCACAGCGAACAGACTCTGTAGGTGGCTTGGCTTGGCCGCTCGACTGGCTAAAAAAAAGCGTCGCCAAACATAGCCTCCGAGATTGGCATTGGCGATTTCTGCATGCATTTTGACACTGGCCAGACATTCATCCATAGCTAGTGCAGCATATCAGTGCTGGCAACCTAGCAAACTTATTGTTAACGACGCTCTCAGCGTGTAATGGGGTACGGCGACGCATCAGGTTAGTCAAACGGAGTCTGAATAACTAAATGGTGCACAGTGGGGCATCCGAATTTTGGGTCGTGAGTTTACATTAGGATCAATGGGGAGTGTGGCAGTGCCATGAAGATGTCCGAATAAACAAGCATGTCCGAATTTTCGGCGTCCGAATAAACGGTCGGCGACTGTATATGCTTTGGCATGTTGTTAATCTTTACTCCTTACAGTAACCTTTTTGGCACACAAGAAGACTCGGGAGATTCTGGAATCTTTCAACAGAGTAATCGAAACAGATAACACTGTAAGGTCAATTGAGCCCACCCTTGCATTAACTGAGAACTTGTGTGGCCAGCTGTTGTGCAACACTTTTTTCGTTGCTGTGTCTATAAGAGAAAACAATGTCAGGAAACTTCCTCATTTGGCACCTTCACAGCACCGTTCATGTTTTTAGTACGAAAGCTCCAGCATTTTTGGATGTGGTGACCGTGACGGGGCCGTTCAGCAAAACAAAGAAGGGCCGTCATGTTTTATTTCTGAATTGAGAAGCTTAAAAATAATGCCTAGGCATCATATTTCCAAGAGGGCCTGCTCCATCATCTGTACCTTCATGGTGCGAGTTCCTTGGTTGGGGACGTGCTGGGGGAAGCAAGGTGGGAGGCTGAAGGAAGTGAATGTGAGGCATTTATTTGTATAGCTACAAGGTATTTTGAGCCCTTATTTACACCGGCAAGCTAAGTTAGCTAGTGCACCTCAAGTGAAATTGCTGCGTGCATCTGCACTTTAAGCAAACGCATGTACTAAATCACTATTGGAGCATCTATACATTGTTCTCAGGGTATACTACATGTATAAGAATAGACTTGTGCATTACTCTCAGAATACACTCTCCAGCAAGTGACATGTTTCAAAACCTTGAGCTTCTCAATATTCCTTAGTGAACAAATGAAATGGGGGTGGTCATAACAGCCCGATCATATCGTCATCGAGGGCACACTTCAACAACGATGCCGACACTTTGAACGCCTGCCGAACCACACGACAGTAAGTGCTGCAGCTCAGAACACTGCCGTATGTGAAAGTTCCCTGCAACAAATGATTAGGGAAATACAGCGTGAGGAACTTCGCGCCCTCTGCGTTCCCCCTACCCAGCACCTCCACCAGTGTCACGACATCAAAACAGAGGTCTTACCGCAGAGATTGAGACACCAGAAGCAGGTCGGTTCTTTTAATAGAACGCGCAAGAGAGTTCTTCTTTTTCATCCATTTCATTGTCCTTCATGGCACATGCATAACTGCCATTGTATTTTTTTTTTTTGACAAGCATGTGACAATATAGACCATACATGTTGAAAATCTCTGCCTTCGAGTGACCGAAGATCTAGAAATGACCTTTCAGGGACAACAATACCTCATACAAATGTGTACGCTAGCCTTCAAAGGAAATGAGGCCAGTAAGCTCCTCTAGCAATGACTGAAGAAACGGCAATAGAAGTGCACCTTAACGATGCCTGTCTTTAAAATATCCAACAAATTATTTTCACAGCACTTAATAATTGGTGTCCAATATTTTGCTGGACAAGTTGGTTGAGGGTGATAAAATAAAAGCAGAGTCTAAATAAGGGACATAGAAAAACACGAATACAGGACTTGCATTCCTTTGTTTTTTGTGCCCCGTATCTTTTGCACTCTGCTTTACTTTTATGACTTGCTATTGTTGATACTCTCTTACATGAATTCGCCTATTTGAATTCGCCTCCACCTCTTTCTACAATCCTTGTGGTGGACTTTGCATAAATATAATACAAAAATATTTTAATGCTGTGGCCTAAATGCGTGCAAACCCCAATGACTATGTCATATCTGGATGACATGTAGCCTCGAAAGAACAAATCGGTCATTTGCAGAGCTTGTAGCTTGCAAAAGAGTCATGCTATACAGTGGGAATGCTGCTCTTGTTAATTTGCTGCTGTTTTTTCACAGGAATACTGTTTCAATAACGCTGGCATCAACCTTCCAGTTAAAGTGTCAATGCTGAAGCCACAGCAGATACAGAATTAAGCAACTTGGTTTTTCTGTATGCTGTGCTTATGTCAATTGGGTTCCAAACTTCCACTAACTCCAGCATGACTGTGCGCTAGAAACATCCTTTCATCTCTGCTTGCCAAAGGCAATGAGTGCACGGTACACCTATCTGGCTAAAAGGAAGGCACGTGGCTCATAATGTGAGAAACTTGTTCACGTGTTGTTCTGTGGTACTAAGTGTTTACCATAAAATGCCTGTCTGTTTTATTAAAGTGAAAGGCTGGGCTCATAAGTAAGAAGTCTTGCGTGCAGCATTAATAGCATAAATTGTGCCAAAAGTTAAATGTGATGCTTGGCACATTCCACGGGTGATAGTTTAAGTTAAGCAAAGCTTAATGAAAAAAAAAAGCATGAACTCAAGTGAGTTAATTGCAGCAAAAGCATCCTAAAATAGTAATAAAGGGTATCAAAAGTATAGTCCAAAGGGTATCAAAAGAGAATTAAAGTAAATCAAATGGAATAAATGAAAAATAAAGGTGACCTAAACAAAATAAATGATAGATAAAGGTGAATTGAATGTGAATAACATGCAAACTAAGGTTAGTTAATCTTGTATCAGATTTGAATAGTGAGTAGAGCATTGCAGGAGTTTAAACTTTAAAGTAAATTAAAAGTGAACAAAATATTGCAAATTCAAAGCTAATCTACTTCTTTTCTCCAGAGATCTTGAAAAAAAAAAAAAAAAAAACCTGTTTTCTAGATCCGTCCAAAGCAGTACCTAGTTGCCCTACAAGCACTTTCGGACTTCTTCTTTTCTCGAATAACTCACAAAACTCTAGTAACATTGTGCAAAGCCTGCCTTCATGTTCATAGTATGATTTCCATTTGTCAAGAGAATACACATTCCTTGGCAATATCGCAGCTGGCATATATATATATATATATATATATATATATATATATATATATATATATATATATATATATATATATATATATATATATATATGAGATTTAACAGACAATAATGCCAAGGAAAGTATAGGGGAAATATTAGACCGAATCGTAATGTAAATATGAAGAAAAGTGGGTGAAAAGATAACTTGCCGTGGGCAGGATCCGAACCTGCGACCTTCGAATGACGCGTGCGATGCTCTACCACTGAGCTACCATGACAGCTATCCCCCCCAGCCACTTTAAATGGTTTATATATGAATTAAACGTGGGACTTTAAAGGGTTTATATATGAATTAAACGTGGGAGTGTCAGTCAGCACCACCAGTAGCCATGGCGGCGAGTGTGGCACATTCTTTTGAGCCTGTTTGGCGTCACGTAGCACGTGAACTTGTTACGAGTGGGCAGCTGACCAATAGTACCTCGTATACAACCTAAAGGCACAAAGTCTGCCAGTACGAGACCCTTGTTAACGAATAAGGAAAGAAGTGTATACCTAAGACAACAGCAAGTTATCTTTTCACCCACTTTTCTTCATATTTACATTACAATTCGGTCTAATATTTCCCCTATACTTTCCTTGGCATTATTTGGTGTTAGATCTCATTAATATTGTGTAAAAACACGGAAAAATGAGCCCTTAGATATACACTTCTTTCCTTATATATATATATATATATATATATATATATATATATATATATATATATATTGAAAAAGGGTTTATTGGCGACTGTTGCGATGGTGGTCCTACGATGAAACACGATCGGGAAAGAGCAACGGTCAAGCAGATGCCGGCAATGATCAGCACGAGCCGAGCGAGCGAAGCCCAGGACCCAGTACCCAAGCGGAGGCGATGTTGCTTGCTAACGATGCGTTTTCTTCTTCACAATTTTCCCCTGCCGAAAAAGAGCCATCCTGGCGACCTAAGAGTCTGGAGGCAGAGGGCGTTTTCCTCTTCACAATATATGTATATATATATATATATATAGGCAAAAGCAATCATGTATGAAACTACACCAACAGCACTGAACTAGCTCGTTTTTTGAAATACAAAGAGTAGATTTCAACATTACAAGCCTGTTCAACAGCAGTACCTACTAGGTGTTCACTTCTTTGGTTGCTGTTGCAGGCAGACCAGACACATGCGGTTACTTCTGAGCATTTGTGCATGTTTTGACTTTGCTGTTTCAGGTATAACCAACTGCTGCATGCTTGGTGCCCTGAAGAAACGATACAAGTTGGCATCTACGTTCATCAATAGCACAGTTTGCGTGGGGCAGCCACATCGCAGTGCAGTAGCACATCTTAGTCAACCGCATGACATGAAGAAATTTTATTACTACACGCATGGGCCTGGCCCATTGTATGGTCAGCCCAGGCACGTGCGCATCCTTGGTAACTGTTGGGGATAGTATCATGGTCATTGCTTATACAGGTACGTATCGTGCACCTTGTTAAATACATACTTTCTGGGCATGGTTAGTTATGAGACATATAGCATTCAATTGAAAACAATGTTGATAGCAATCTTGGAAGGTTTCAAAATGCTGGCAGTCTTCAGCAGTAAGCTTGATACCTTCAGCTATAAAATATGCAAGAAAATGTAAGAAGGATACTAATATTAGTTATTTTAATGCCTTAAAAACCTCAATGAGGGGTTTTACACGAGTTACAATACAATACACATAGTTAACAGTTATTAATACACATAGTCAAATAGTGAGCATATATGTGTAGCTAAATGTTAACATAGAATATACATCAGTAATACACAGATGATGTCTCCTGTACATTTACTGAACTGCCCCGCCACGGTGGTCTAGTGGCTAAGGTACTCGGCTGCTGACCCGCAGGTCGCGGGTTCGAATCCCGGCTGTGGCGGCTGCATTTCCGATGGAGGCAGAAATGTTGTAGGCCCGTGTACTCAGATTTGGGTGCGCGTTAAAGAACCCCAGGTGGTCAAAATTTCCGGAGCCCTCCACTACGGCGTCTCTCATAATCAAATGGTGGTTTTGGGACGTTAAACCCCACATATCAATCACATTTACTGAACTGGGCAAGGCTGGATTGGTGCACAATATGCACCTAATGAGTCCACACTTCAATGATCAGTCCATTGGGCTCAGTAGAGCAAATTCGCAGGAAGAACTTCTCACAAACTAAAATAAACAGCTGTAAGAGAAACTCAATGAAACTCGAACTGAAACGAAGCAGTCACCAGCATTTTTTCAGGGTTTTATAATTGTCAAAAATGCTCATCTTTTATTTTTCTGAAGTCTCATGCTCTGCACAGTGTCTATATTTATCTCCAAGTGAATGTACATCAAACCGCTTGCTGTCTGAATTCAGAGGGCTAACATGCAACGAGGAACACTTTATGCTGATTGATATTAATTTAATCTAAAAGATCATGTTGTCATCATTTATGTGCTAACTTTATCAATCATGCTTAGCAAAAAATTGTGAACATCCACAACTGCAAGAAAAGACGCAACTACACATTTATTGAAATATGTTTGTGTTAAGATTTCAGTTACATCAAGTTCCATTACACCTACCTCTAAGTAGTTTCGACAAGCCAGTCTATCTATATGTGGCTCTTCTTTGTCACAGTAAGTGTTAACTGACAGTGATACCCCTAACTTTTCATAATTAGATGTTTGGCCCAAATTGGTAAACAAAAGATAATTTGACAAAAATAAAACAAGCTTGACATACTATAAAAAAAAATTAAAGTGTGAAAGTGCCTGGATGTTAATCTCTATCCTCAATACGTTTGCTGGATGGAGCCATAACATCAAGAATGACAGGATTTGTAGTACATGTGTAAGGCTCCTACTAAATTTTTTTACATGTAAACTGTGATTACTTGAGAGTGCTACGGTTACAGATCATATTTTGGAATTATGCTAGCTTTGGTTTTTAATAACAGATGTAGCATGTATTGTTATTTCACATTCGACATAGTTAAGTCAAATCACAGGGCTTCTCAGCAATTCTTAGAAACTTAGAAATCTTGAAATCGTACCCCTGAGCTTTTGCAACTTGGTTAAAGTAAACTTATCTTTTAGTAGTACAGTTGAACTCACTTATTACGAGAAAACAAAAAATTAAATCTGCAGAACTTAATAACCCTTCAGATTCACAGTAGGATTCATCGTGGAGCTGTGTGGCATTGTGGCCCATTTGAAGTTATTGGCTTGTCCATACAACCTGCTGTCCCCTTTTTTGTTTTTTTCATTTTGCAAGCAGTTTATAGCAAATCTTGGTCATAACAAAGAAATTTTCGTGGCATCTGAGTATTGTTAGGAGTGGGTACGACTGTAGCCTTGTTATATTTGTAGTTTTATGCTGTGAGAGCTGGATTTTATTTGACATAATTTTCGAGATTTCTTCAAGCATGTGATATTATTGCCACAGATGCACAGTTAGTCACCAGGCATGACCTCAACGTGCCATGGCTGTCATATCTGTATGTTGTGCCCTTATTTCCCAACAGTCCTATATTATCTATGCAACAGAACAACCATTCCTTTTCTCCTGTAGGCCTTATAGTAAAAATTTTAAGGTAAATGTTGGCTATGGCCTAGAGTAAATTAAAAAAAAAAACATGCTGCACATACAAGCTATGAATCGGTGGTAACTGGTGAGCAGGTAAATTCATTTAAAAAAGAAAACGTGTTAAATAAAGGGAGGTTTGCTTACAGTTCTTCCATAGAAAAGCTATGTTTGCGTCGTTCTACTTTTCAGCATTTTGCCCGATTGATTGTCATTCATTTTTATTATTCATTTAGCATGATTTGATATTACATGCAGTACAAGCAGGGTGAAATAATACAAAACTATGATAACTATAAGTACTTGGGTCCTCATCATAAGACAGTGAAAAATGTGGCATAATGACATGAAAAAGAAAGAAGCAGTATGTTGAACTCGCATCCAAATAATAAATGAAACATCCAAGGACACACTTCGTAAACACACAGATTAATGAAAACTTGTTAGTGTCACATGCATGGAATCATATGTGTGTCGACAAGCAGGGCAGTCACTTTGAAGGGCCCAAAGAACAGCTTTTTGTTGAAAAGCAACAATTATATTGCATGACACAACGGTTGTGTGCTGCGCAAAAAGTTAGCCAAATGGCAATTTATTCAAGTTTAAGTTCAGAGGAATTGATTTTTTTATTATGAGCGATTTATTGTGCTTTTCTTGACAGTTTTGAATGAAGTCGCATTTGATAGTGACAACGCAGTAAATATGTCATATATTGTGGACAGCCTTTGTATTGACTGAAAGCTATTAAAAAATCCATCAGTGGCAGTGTTTGTGCCGACTCATCATCTGACTATAAGATGCCAACTGTGGACCTAGTGAGGGCCTCGTAAGTTGGAATAGCACTCGCTAACTAATCCATGCTGTTACTTAAAAAAAAGCTAACATTGTTGCCTTTGTAATTTCACTGGCACTTCGACGGACCCATGAAACAGTGGTGCAAGAAGCAAAAGCTAAACTTTCTTATCATGTGAAGCGCTAAGGGCCAGAGTAGGTATACCCATTAGTGTACTAGGCGAGCACACTTCTTAACCTACATCAACAGGATATATGCAGGGTTGAAGGGGTGCCCACAGGGGTCTGGTCTCCTCTTTACTTTTTCAGGATGGGCTGGCCCCTTTCAGCTATAGTGAACTACTGCACAACAGCACCCACTCGACAAGCGCTGTAGTTGAATTTTTTTTGGCAGTAGTTCCTTATGCTCGGAAACTGCAAGTCTCAAAATTTTTGAATAATTTAATTGCTATAGTTGGTTTGATGAAGACAAAAGCAGAAAAACAGGCATCCTCACACTATTGAATGCATTTCCTCGAAACAGTACGCATGACGGGTCACGACCCTGTTCGACAATATTCTTCTTGGCACAACACGCTGTTTCATGAGGTACCTGAGCACTAGGCTCTATGCTAGTGGATGAGTAAAGGCTCACCTTGGTATCTCTGCGTTACAAGTAAATTTTCATTCATTTAATTTTGCTTTACGACAGCACATGCATTTTGTGGACTTTTTTTAGTTAAGTAGGCCTAAAAATGAAACAGCGTTGTCTTGCCTGATGTTCTCAATGCAGCAAGTAAACCAATGCCCTGCATTACAGCTTGGTTATTTTTTTTTTTTTTGAGCTCACATAACTCTGATCCTAACCATTCTGAATTAGTACTTATTTATAAAGCCTTTCAGACTTGTTAACTTTACAGTGCTTGAGACAGCTCCCTTCACTGTGCGGTATATGTGTCTTTGTGCGCGTGTGTTCACTTGTGCGTGTTACCGCTCTGAGAGCTCTGCCTCCATGAAGAGTGGCTGTAAGCCCTGGAATGTGTAAAAAATGCATACCTAGTTTTAAAAACTCAGTTGACCTACAAAGCTATTATTCAATTTGCCCTTGCAAAGCTGACCTGTACCTGCTATCAGAAAGGGGCAGGTCAGCAAAGATGCTCATGGCGTGAGTGGGTGTGGACTCAACTTTGGAGTGTGAGCCAATTAAGTGACTTAGGTCTGTATTCACAAAGTAACCACATCCTTAGCTTGAGTTTTTCTTATTGGTTTTGAGCCTTTACTGCATTTGATAAAAAAACTAGGCCAGTATTGATGAGGCAATCTTGTTATCTTTTACCTTCGTACCATTTTCGTGCTCTTATAGCACATGTAGAGTGTGCAGAAACATAAGGAAAGCGTAAAAGGTAAGGTCGAGGTTCGTTTGTGAATACAGGCCTTAATGTGCTAATAAAAATAACCATGAACATTAGAGTCTATAAGTATGTGTGCGTACAAGTAATAAGTGGAGCAAATATGCGAACAAATGTGATAGCGTGAATAGTATTAGTGAATACATCTTGCGGAAATAATGGTGAGTGAGTATTGGCGAGTGTAAGTGCTCCTTCTGTCAACCTATCATGCATTCCTATGTTATGGGACGAAAGAATGGATTTGTTTATTCACGAATTGTTTTCTCACCGTACTTGCAGATTGAAACGCACCATCAAGTCATTCAGTATTAAAGCTGGCGTATGCAATTCTTCGAGACAGCTGTGTCATGGTGCTACAAACATGACTGCTATAGGTATTGCTCAGTTTTATGTAGGTGTCCGAGCAAAAATTATGTCGATATTAGACTAACTGAATACGATGAGAATGAAAGTACTATATGAATTACTTAGCATTGGATGGGACTGTAAATACAATGCAGCCATGTGTGTTTAATAATTTTGTTTCATTCCCTGGTATTAGCGATTCTATGTCACATATAGTTAATGACAGTGCATTAGTTGAGCTGAAATTTATTTGGCCTTGGCTTATGCACCATGCCATAAAGATTAAATGCCATTCATTCACTGTGCCTCGCAGGCACTCAGCTGATTGAGGCATTGACATTACACTCAGTTGCCGAATTGCAGGAATAATATGTGTGTGTGTGTGTGTGTGTGTGTGTGTGTGTGTGTGTGTGCGCGCGCATAGGACCCAGAAGAACATTACTGACAAAGGTATCAATGAACAACTGTTTTTAATTAGGCAAAGCCCGTCTTTTTCAAACATTCTTGCTCAATTAAAAAAAAATGCTCGCACACACACATACTCTCTCTCTCTGCGTTTACACCGGTCCTGCTTAATTCCCCCTTTCGTACGCTACACCATGGAGGCAGGAAAAATATCCTCCATGCGCCACACACGCGAGCTGTCATGCAGCAGCTGCGATCGGCACCGCAACTACGCGCTCTGAAGCGTTGCTCTGAAGTTTCCGCCAATCCGCGAGAGGTGGCAGCAGCAGTCGTAGGAAGCACGACCAGGAAAGAAGGACTCGGCCGCTGTCCGTGGCACTACGTACTGCCGCCACTTACTTTCAGAGATGCCAGGTGCAGGAAGGTAGGATTTTCCGTTAGAGGTGGGAGAAGGGGGCTATGAACAAGGCCTTTAGATGGAACCTTCGCCCCCTTCCCTCTCCCCGGCTAGTCGGGTTGGTTCGCCATGAATGCAAGACTGAAAAAGAAGCGATGACGTGCTGCTGACAAGTAACGTTGCTGCTCACTGCGGCCTTCCTTTGGGCTCTCGCTTTTCGGGGGCAACAGTGAAAAGCAATCAGTTTTTCAATGTAAGAGAAGGTGTGGGTTCGAGCTAGTTATTGAAACTCTATGATGATTTACTTTTTGCGCGAAATTTCTTGGACAACGAACGACAGCAGGAAACTGTGCGCGTCTGCTTCGCCCTTTGTCCAGGAAATTATGCACAAGAAGTAGCTGAGCAATATCGGAGGTCCCCCGCCTATGTTACCGTCAGAAACCGGTGTCGAATGACGGGGTGAGTCAAACCTGGAAAAGTTCTGGTGCAGACGTGGCGCGCCCCTTTGAAGATGAGGGGCGTTGGGGTCCCGGGCTTTTAATCTATGTTAAGCATAGATACCGTGCAGTCGAGTTTTCCAGTGTGACTGCAGCGCCAGAATGCAAGGCCTAGCGGAGAAGGAAAGCAGCAATGATACGGGGTTGGTCAAAAAGGAACGCGATGTGCTCCCTTTATTTCTTCCCTGCATGCGTGGGTGGATGTGACCGTAGTACAATGTCAGCTAATTAGGAACAGGATAGTGCGAGAAACGCAGACTCTCTCTGGCTTGTGTACGGTGCCTGATGGAGATGAAAGCCAACGTGTTCAAGCATGAAATCAAAAGTGATGATCTCTGGGATGATAAAGCGCCGATATAATAATAATAATTGGGGACCCTCTAGCTTCGCCTTCAGGAGTTGAACGTGATAGTGAAATACGGCCCCTAGTGCACCCTAGCACCCTGCTAAGTGCATATTTATTCATATGTTTTGTTGCATACACACGCACGCACAAAAACACGCACACAGTAAATTGGACCAACGCGCGCTATTATCGCCAAATGGGCTGGTTTTCGTCGTGACATCTGTCCAACAAAATGCGTTAAAGGGACCCTGAAAGACTTTTTCAAGTAGCCATGCCTCACGAATTCAACGCCGCAAAGATTTTAAGATCTGTCCAGTGCGAGTGGAGTTACAAAGGTTTGTCGCATGCTGCAATGGCATTATCTCCTCTCTCGTCCCGACGAAAGCGCTGGAAGTTAAGCAGGGAGGGGTGGCGGGGAAAGAAAGTTCCATGCCTCTTGACCTCGAGCGCTTTTTTTTTTTCGAATGCGCGGCTTTTAGGGGTGAAGCTCCTTACAGCGGAGCTGGTACAAATGAAGCTAGCGCTGCCAGCGCATCATGAGCGTGGCGTGTAGTCGTGTTACATGACATGCATGTCATAATTTGCATGTTATGACTAGTCGAATATGTTCTTCATACAGTCATGTTATGTCATACCAAGTTTGGTATCAATACCATTATCGGAACGACCAGGAGAGCTAAAAGTCGTAGGCGGCTAGATAGATAGATCGCTCAAAGTCGCCGAAGTTCGCTAAGAAATGCTTCGCATTTAAAATGGGCTCGGTAGAATACTCTCGATGACATCCGTCGAAGGGTGTACAATTCCGGAGGATTGATGCGGTACTCTGACAGCAATCATTCGAAGACGACAGAGACGTCGCAGCGTCTGTCGCCGACGCAAGAGCTCCGAAAAAAATTACGGCATATTCACGGGGTGAATGATGATGAATGGGCGAAGCTCCGGAGGGATTCATCGGTAAACTGTGAATCTTCCGTGTAATTCGCCCAGTCGATCATCATGTAAAGACGTGAGAAACGCTGTGTGTGTATATACACAAATCAACTTTTATTTGTTCTTAGACGATGGATGGCTTGCGATGTCCCTTGCCTCGCGCGCTCGTACATCGGGATTCTGTCTGCGAGCGCGCGCTGCTGCCGCCTTGCGCTCTCTCCGCTGTGCAGCCTTATCCATCCGGCGGCTCCGAGCGCGCGCCAACAGCGAACGGATTTTATTACAACGCTCCCCCTAGCGTACGTCGCCGCACTAAATCGAACGATTGCCTTCAACCAATGACACGCGCCATATGTGACATCATTCCTATTTTATAAGATCTCGCGTCTTTCATCAACTACAAGTACCGCTTTCTAGTTTATAACATCTTGTATCTTTTCATCATCAGCTACAAGTACCACCATCTAGTAAACACTACAAGAGCTAAACGAGAGGTGGCTACATACAGGAGACGGTACCGCCATCTAGTGAACACTGCAAGAACTAAACTAGAGGTGGCTACATACAGGGGACGGTACCGCCATCTAGTGAACACTGCAAGAACTAAACTAGAGGTGGCTACATACAGGCTACAGGGGACGCACAGCCCACGCCCTAAGGAGCTTCGCCCCTAAAACACGTCCGTTTGCACTGTACGCTCGAGACTACTGGCCTGGTGATGTCACGCTGGCGCAGCTCTGCTACAAATGTAAACGTACATTTTCATATATATTTAATAAAGTTGTATATTTGTACTTTAAGAACAGATTATTTTAGTGAGATGCATGCGAGACTTCTTATTCATACTAGTCGCTGCTGTGACAACTTTGATATGTGACTGGTTACATTTTGAACTTTTATCAGCTTTGACCTCGTTTATGTCACAAGTATTCGAAATGTTAGTCTATGTAGCTTATTTGATGTTTGAAAATTTCAATGCTGGCTACTTTCACAAAATATGAAAACGCTTACTTAGTGTTCAAAAACCGTCCATTTATTTTGATTCTTGCAATTTGTAGTGATACTTGTATGTGCAATATGTTTAATAGTAAATATTATGGTATATATAGGAGGTCTGATACATCAAACTCCGGGAGTCGTTTGGAATATTTTGCTTCCAGCTTCAAAAACACCAATAGCTGCTCCAGGCTAGTATTTTTTTCTGCTCCAAAAACAATCAAGCCTGCTACAAAGCACCATTTTTCGTGCTCCATAATCTACTGCATAATCTACTCCAGAAATCAAAATGCCACTTCCATCATTGCATTACATATGTACTCCCATGATGCAGGATTCACGTCGGGTTAACGTCAGTCATAGCGCGATCGACTGAAGTTGGTATGCGCAGCACTAGCCAAGGATATACCATCCTCATGAGCACTGCATACGTTTTTCCGGCTTCGAGCATTGCCGTGTTTCTGATGGCATCGTCACGCAACTGTAAACGGATTATATAAAAACACATGAGACTGTTCAACATCTCTGTGCGCACATAATTTGTTGACGTTTATCTCTACAAAAACTACATTAGTCACCTTCCCTCCTAATGTTTAGCAGATCGTAAGGGCGCCATGTATAGAACAAGGTGCCAGCGTGGGGACCGACGTTGGAGAGTTACGACGGTTATTGAACGTAAGACGTTTCAAGTGACACCATAGATAGCGATTTTGCAGATTGCGTACCTCTGTCACTCCTTCGCGCTTGAAATTACCAGCAGTACGCCCTATGCACGATACGCCACTATGTCACTGGCAAGCACATCGCGCAATTAGCGCTTAAAGATAAACGAAGCAAGTAAGGCTTGGGTCCGCAATTCTGTCACGATTTGGGGGAGAAAGACCAGCTGAGGCGATTGATGGACACCGTTTTTACACTGATGCAAGGTATTATATATATATATATGTAGGTCATATACGCTATACGTACTGGAGGCGAGAAATACATGGCGACCGCGACATTGGAAAAATACTGCACGAGTTGCGCAAACAAGTGGGTCATATAAATATCAACCGCACAGTACTCGTGACACCTTGAAATAGAAAGATCTAAAGCACCTTAACATTTCGCAAAAACTAAGGTTCCCATCAACATAATAAATGAGGCACGCGTTCACGGTTGCTTGCAGACAAAAAACGCGTGGATACAACGACGTTGAGTACAAACGTGGCGATAAGCACGAAACACCGAAGACCATCGACACAGAAAACAGTACACAAAAATGTGTGTCCCACAATGTGTTCCCGAGCTGCGTCGTATCCTTCGTGTGTAACGTTCAATATGTGGCGACGTGCCCAACTTGTTCAGCCAAAAAACACGCAGGGCCTCTCGCGCCTCATCCTGGCGTCCGCGCTGCACCCAAAGTCTTCGGCGAAGCG